ACACACACACACAGACCTACTGACAGACACACACACAGACCTACTGACAGACACACACACACAGACATAGTGACAGACAGACAGACACACACACACACACACACAGACCTACTGACAGACACACACACACAGTCATACTCACACACACAGACCTACTGACAGACATAAACACACACATACTGACATAATATGCAAGTTTCCTCTAGTTTCCTACCTTCCCTGGGGTCCAGTGTGCTGCCTTGGGTGGTTGGGAGTTGGGGACTGGCTCTCTTTGCTCAGTCCCCCTCCTCGCTGCCTCCTGCCTCAGCCTTCCTCCTGCGCGGCTCATGATCTCAGAGGGAGGAAGTGACTCACCGACGTCACTTCCTCTCATGCTGCCATAAATCAGGGGGCCTGGTCGTGCTGTTAAAGGGCCACAGCACCCGACCGGGCCCCCTGCTGTAACGTGCTCACCGGGGCCCCCATAGAGTATGGGCAGCCGCAATACAAGCACCGCGGGCCTATGGGTGGGGAGGGAATTTTTCTTATGCAGGCGATGGGCGGTGGGGCCACGGGGCAGCTGCTTTGGGCCCCCCAGGAGTAACTGGGCCCGGGGCAGCTGCCCCGTTTGCCCCGCGTTAAAGACGGCCCTGGGCATGGCTATGATTGGCCAGTGCAGCATGTGACCCAGCATCTATATATAAGCTGGAGTTGCATAGCGCCGCACGCACATGAGCTCTTATTAGTGTAGGGAGAGGATGCTGCCGCTGTGAGGGACAGCTTAGGAAAGAATTCTGCAAATTAGTACATTTGTGGGGAGCACTTCATATCTGAGAGTCAAATAGAAGCTTCAAATACCGCGGTTACATCGGAGTTTTAAAAAGTAAATTTTTTTGGGTGCTAAATAGTACATTAGTGGGATAATACATTAGTGGGGTGCACTTCATATCTGAGCGTCAAATAGAAGCATCAAATACTGCTGTCACATTGCAGTTTTAAAACTTGAAATTTTTTGGGTGCTAAACTGCTAAATAGTATTTTAGTGAGGTGCACTTCATATCTGAGAGTCAAATAGAAGCGTCTAATAGTGCGCTTACAGCGCAGTGGTAAACATTCTAATTGTTTTGCTGCTAATCTGCTAAATAGTACATTTTGGAGCGTGCACTTCATATTTGAGAGTCAAAAGGGTCTAATAGTGCGCTTACAGCGCAGTGGTAAACATTCTAATTGTTTTGCTGCTAATCTGCTAAATAGTACATTTTGGGGTCTGCTCTTCATATCTGAGAGTCAAATAGAAGCGTCTAATACTGCGGTTACAGCACTATTGTAAACATTCTAATTGTTTTGCTGCTAAACTGCTGCTTACATTGGAGTTTTAAAAAGTCAATTTTTTTTTGGTGCTAAATAGTATATTTGGGGTGTTCACTTCATATCTGAGAGTCAAATCGAAGCGCCTAATAGTGTGCTTACAGCGCAGTTGTAAAAATTCTAATTGTTTTGCTGCTAATCTGCTAAATAGTACATTTGTGGCCTGCGGTGCACTTCATATCTGAGAGTCAAATAGAAGCGTCAAATAGTGCGCTTACTGCGCAGTTGTAAACATTCTAATTGTTTTGCTGTTAAACTGCTAAATAGTACATTTTGGGTGTGCTCTTAATATCTGAGAGTCTAACAGAAGCGTCAAATACTGCTGTCACATTGCAGTTTTAAAACTTAAAATTTTTGGGGTGCTTAACTGCTAAATAGTATTTTAGTGGGGTGCACTTCATATCTGAGAGTCAAATAGAAGCGTCAAATAGTGCACTCACTGCGCAGTTGTAAACATTCTAATTGTTTTGCTGCTAATCTGTGGCTTAGATTGGAGTTTTAAAAAGTCAATTGTTTTTTTTTGGTGCTAAATAGTATATTTGGGGTGTTCACTTCACATCTGAAAGTCAAATCGAAGTGTCTAATAGTGTGCTTACAGCGCAGTTGTAAAAATTCAAATAGTTATTCTGCTAATCTGCTAAATAGTAAATTTGCGGCCTGCAGTGCACTTCATATGTGAGAGTCAAATAGAAGTGTCAAATAGTGCGCTTACTGCGCAGTTGTAAACATTCGAATTGTTTTGCTGCTAATCTGCTGCGTACATTGGAGTTTTAAAAAGTCAATGTAAAAAAAAAAAATAGGGGTGCTAAATAGTATATTTAGGATGTTCACTTCATGTCTGAGAGTCAAATCGAAGCGTAACTTTGATTCAAATTTACTATATCGGTCACTTGTAATATTGTTTCACACCTACAACACTTGTTACACAGATCTAAGTGATAGAAAACAGATTGATATTTTCTATACTAGAAACTACCAGATAACAAGCTGCTATATGTAAACCAGTTATCAATAGCTAAGAGGTATTTAAACAATATTGTAATTCTGGGGCAATTCCTCACAAGTCAAACTGAAAGGTCAGTTTATAGGGAAAACTTGCCTGGATACAATTCTAAAACAATTTCCATATGTCCTTTGCAGACTTTACATGCTGGAAAAACACAGGTGCCAACTGCTGTGACTTTCTGCAGTGTGCATACCGGCAAGGAGGGCAGGGTTGAGGTGGAAGATGATGTGGAGGATGATGAGGTCCTAGACCCCACATAGAATCAAGGTCATACGAGTGACGTGTGCAGTTTGGAGGAAAAGGCGCTGGTCGCACAGAGGCACCAGCACAGCATAAGAGGGAGCAAGGTGCAAAAGCGGAGCGGCCGTCCCCTAGCGCTCGTCGGCATGTGTTGGCTCAAGAATTACCAGTTATCCAAGTAATACATGTAGCGATCAAAGGATCCATAATAGAGTTGAGCGAACCCTAACTGCAAAGTTTGGGTTTGTACCAGATTTAACAATCCATTCGTAGTTTCACAGTCAGGTGGGCAGTCCGATGACCAGGACCCAGACACTGTCTGGGCGGCGGTCGGACAACCGGGACCCAGTATGCCTGACATTGAAGTTAGGAGTCACAGTGTGGAAAGGATTAGCAGGGTCTGGTGCAGGGTAACCGCACGCTCCCTGGTGTTGAGCACCAGGACCCTGATGCAGCTTCAGTAAAAAGAGTACTGGATACCAGAAGCCATTACCAGACTGATCCACAACTTGGAACAGGATGTGAAATTCACTGTAGCGGCTGTGCGCGCTTTTGGCGTTCTCACCTTGCTGCTGCTTGCCTGTCTGCGCTGCAGCATAACTTCAGCCTTCCCGCTCACCGCCTCATGTGACTGTGCGAGCAGCAGCAGGCGATAGTGGAGTTTCAGCTGCAGCACGCACGGGTCAGTGGCTCTGCACCAGACTTCCCTCCAATTGATCAGAATTAAAGGATTTCAAGTGGACTCAGTACAATTACAGGGCCTCTAAAGAGTCCTGTATTGTTATTTGTCATCACTACCTACCCTCATCGGGAGTGGGTCATTTGCGCGCCTGATGCCTTTCTTGCATGTGGTAGCCGTTTCTCAGGTTCCCTGTACGGAATGGAACCCGGATTCCCTGTTACTCATGGTCGCCATGGTAGGCGCAGAAACTGCCATCGAAAGTTGATATGGATGACATCCGAATGCAAAGTCGCCGCCACAGGGATGTGCGATTGGCCCGAGGTTCTCTAAAGTCAACAAAGTGCCTGCACAACTATAATGTCAACAGCTACTCTGCGGAACAGAGTTGTCTTTTTTTATATGTCCCAATATTTTGGGGGCTACCCCAATTAAAAAAAAAAAAAATATATATATATATATATATATATATATAAAACAGTGTTGGCTACATCCTCCTCCTCCACTGCTGCTTCCACCTACACGGTCACTGCCTACTCATCCTGTGGGTCACTTCGTATAAACTATGTACACATTAGCAGAGGCTTGTGAATGCCTTTTCTACATGCATCAAGAGTTGAGCATTTCTCCATGCATCAGGACTGCAAGAAATGCACCGCAGGCCGTAAATGTTTCTTTTTTTGTATGTCCCAATATTTTGTGGGCTACCACAATTAAAAAAAAACAAAAAACATAAAAAACAGTGTTGGCTACCTCATCCTCCTCCTCCACCACTGTTTCCACCTACACCGCCATGGTCACCGCCTCCTCAACCTATGGGTCACTTAGTATAAACTATGTACACAAAAGCAGAGGCTTGTGAAGGCCTTTTCTCCATGCATCAGGAGTTGAGCTCAGTTTGAACAATGAAAGAGAATACCCTGCACTCTAACACTCTCTCAAATTGATAATTCTGGTGATCCTCCTGACAGCCATGCTTTAGATTTTGATTTATGTTCTTCCAAAGCTAAAATCAAAGATTCCATCTAGTGCTATTTTATGGCTCAGCTGTATTTTTAATTTTTATGTTATTTTAAGTGATTTCCCTATCCACATTTGTTTGCAGGGCACTTGTCCTACTCTTACCCCCATTTTACTTGCTTTTGCAGCACTCTAGCCCTTTCCAGGAGTTTTTTTAGAGGCATTTTTGGGGCCAAAAGTTCGTGTCCCCATTGACTTCAATGGGGTTCGGGTTCGGGGTCAAGTTCAAGCCCGAACCCGGACTTTTTTAAAAAGTTCGGCCGAACCCGTCGGACCTGAACATCCAGGTGTCCGCTCAACTCTAATTAAGAATAAGCATACAAAGCTATAGTTTTCTCCGATGCCTTTCGTTTAAGGTGTGCCCTTCCCCCCCTACTTGAAATCTAAATTAGAAATTTAAAAAAAAAAAAGGTTTAACTCACTCAGAATTTATTTTTTTCAGTCATTATTTTTATTTTATTTTGCCAACTAACAAAATAACGTGTACTCCATAGATATAATGAGTTATACTGGAATGAAAAAACGCTTGTGATCCTTAGTGTGTGATTAAACAATAACACTAATATGGTGAATAATTTTCTTATATGAAATAAAAAATAAATAAATGATAAATATGAAATAAATAATAAAAATGTAAATTTCAGTTCATTTTATTAGTACAACTACATACATTATATGTGACCCTAAATGACTTTGATACAACAAAGAAAATCAACTATAAAAAATTTATAAAGAAAAGGGTGTTTTCTGAAATGTTTGTTTATTTATATATTGTGCCAGATGATTCAGTAATATGTTGGAGCTACTAAAGGTGTGACTGTTTGTATATAAAGGTGTATGTTCTTACTTCAAAGTATTGTATGTGTTTCAAAGTGTTTTATTTCTTGGAAGATTACTTGGTTACACTATCTGCGGCAACTGTGTAACACAAATTCCTAAATTAATAGCTTTCTTTAGTGTTGCTGTGCATTAATGGCTGATGTATGTTTGGTAGCCCTAATTCCATTCTTTCTTATTCAGGGCTACCATAAATCCCAAAGTGACAGCCTAACTTCTTCATTCTGAACATTTGAGGCGGATGCTCCCCCACTCAGGAGTTCAGATCAACTAAAGCTCACTTTGACATGACGTGTTACCCTGCACTCCATGTGGACACATTTCAGGTGACCTGGTAACTATAGTTCATGACACCTATACTTTATTTAAGGTTTGGAGTACTACTGCTAACAGTACCCTGACCACTCAACAGACAAATACTTCTGTTCCACCTTCACAGAAGATATTTTCCTCTAATGTCAATTACCTGCTCTATTCTGGGAAAGCACAGCTTACATTTACCTGGGTCACATACTCCAAAATTTCATGTGATGAGTATATCAACATGTCATGGTGCGACTAGGTGGGAACTGAAAGCTGCATCTAATTAAGTCCACCCAACCCTGTTATGCTGTTTGCAGCCATACATAGAAGCTTTGTTTAGTTCTAGAAATATTCCCAGTATCCAACCCTTTTGAAAGATCACCACTACATAAGTCCACAACAACTGGCCAGCTTGTTTTGGATGCTCAAGATAATTTAACTTTGCCCATTTTTCCCCATTTGTAAAATGTCTGGTAGGGTCCCCTACAACAAGCTGAACACCCTATTCATCTACATATCTAGAGTACAGGATGACCCATATTTACTTCTTCTAGAGGTTTATATGGATGCTTTTCTCCTTACTCTCTTTTGTGAGGGAGCACTCCCATCCCCCCCACCCCCCCGATCCCACTCTGCTTAATAGAAACTCTTTGATTGATCTGCATTACTTATTCAAGTGTTATGATTATTGGCTATATCATTTGCCACCATAGGCTGATCTACCTGTCCATCTACAATAGACATTAAGCCATTGTATGAACCTGTGAGTTTCTCTTCTGCCTGGCTTCCCTCCATTGCTGTTGATTTTGCTGTCTATTTCCCCTTAACATTTCTGTCAATTCCTTCTTCGAGGCTTTATCTAGCATCTCTATATATGGTATCCAGCCTATGACATGGAACTCACCACCAAATACATCTTCAATTCTGGCAGATGGGGCTGGAACATTCAGCTCTCAACGGATCCCTCCTGCTTGATGCCACATGTCGTGCCACCATGCAAAAAAAAACATGTAGTGGTGCAGCCCCTTGTAGTATTGTTTCTCCTGCATGAGGAGAAAGAAGTCTGTTTTTTCTTTGAGGAAACTGTCATGCCAAAACTTTCATCAACTGTCATGCCACCACTCCAACCACCACTGGTTCAACCCACTTCGTTGCGCTTGCCCTCCAGTTCTCACCAGCACCCTCGCAACCACCAGCACTTCTAGAATGAGTGCTTGAGACATGAGTAATGGGATGAGAGTGACCAGAAGAAGACTCCCCAGAAAGGCACTGCAAGATCCTGGAAACCTATATAAAAGTGGCTTTGGTGCACCAGGTGCAGAACTAAATTACTAAAAAACTAGTGTACTAACTAAATTTAGATTCAGAAGACATTTAGTCTAAAGGTCATGGAAGATTATTTTATTATAAAAAATTCTAAGCATGCCAGTTAGAGCAGTGGTAACATCATTAGAACTGGAAAAACCAAGTGTGAATCTCGGCCGAATCACCTTACCTGTAAGTATCTTTGGGAAAAACACCTAATGATGTATATCTGCCTTACTAAAGTCCTCATAGATTGTAAGCTCATTTGAGCAAGGCCATCTTCACCTCTAAATATCTCCTTTCTATAAATGTAAATCGGTGCAGAATTTGTTGGTGCTATATAAAAGCTAATAATAATAAGAGGGCAGACAGGCAGGTAAATATACAGTCTTCTGTGTTGGCTTAGCATAAGATGGCAGGACCTCCTGGCAAACAACATAAGATGGGAGGACCTCCTGACAAACAACTTACACTGTTGAAGGACTAAGGAGGTAAGGGACTTATCTGGCAGTGGTATCTTTGACATTTGGCAGGAAAATTTACAATTTGGGCAGTGAGGAGAGAAGGGGCCATCTGGGTTGGGTAATGTAGGGTAGTGTATAGTTCAAGACAGTGAGGAAGCATTATGGCAGCATAGCAGAAGATTTGACTAATTTGTGAGGGTGGGGAGCGTGGGGGCAACCAGGCAAATAATCTTCAGTTGGTGAGTGTGACTGGTAAAGGTGGAGATCCTGGCCAGTGATTTTACAGCTTTTGCTGGGTGACGACGGAAAGAGGTATCATTGTAGGATATGATACAGCTTTGACTGAAGTGGCAGACTGGCATAAGATTTGACAAATTTGGAGGGGCAGTTTGGCAGAGGAGATTGAGGCAGGAAAGAGGCTACCCTTCGGAATGTGTAACATAGTCCTATTTGTTTCTTTAATAAATAAAATACAAGTTTGTTGGACGTAACCCCTGGTGTGCGTGCTTTTCTCAGAAGGTATCAGAGCAAAGAGATGGAGCAGCAGGTGACAGAATAGTGAGAAGGGGTGGAATATAAATCAGGGCCAGCAAATAATTCCTTCCTGTATGTAATTGGTGCGGTTCAGGGGGTAGTCAGGTATGGTTTAGTAATGAACCCCCAAATTTCCGATGTTATCCTGATAGGTCTGTGTAAACAGTTGTAGACAATAGACATGTCCTTCAAAATGTGTCCCTGGCTATTAACAATGACATAAGTACTAAAGAATGCTAGTGCTAAAAATGCCCTTTAGAAGGATCCTGAAGGACTCCCCACAGTATTGTTAGCTTAGGCTTTAATATAACAATGGCTTCAGAGTCACGCTTCCAAATCATGTGCTCTCAGTCATCAAGCAAATTAAAATTATACTGCAAATATATTATTTATATACGCTCTCTTCCTATGTACATTTTAAAATGTTGCTATATAAATAAACCTAAATTTATTTATGTAGTGCCAGCATATTCCACAGCGTTGTACAACAGATAAGACAAACATTTAACTCTAACGAAACATGTATGTCGGATGGGAACAGTAAGTGATGAAGACTCTGCACAAACTAGCTCACAATATAATATATTTTGGGTTTTTAAATATTTTGAAAACATAATTTGAAAAGTTTAGCCAAATATATTAATTAATTGAAAAGCATATCGAAAAATGTTAAGTTGTGGCATACTTCAGACCCCTAAAGCACTTTAGTTTTCTGGAAATCTTTATGTATGAAGAGTGTTTCTTCTCTTTTTTTATTTTACAAAAAGTGCATATTTCTATAGAAATTTACACTTTTATGAATAATTATTACTGGTATGACACTCCCCCTCCCCCCCAGCTTTCAAGCAGACCTGTTAGTTCCTGGTTTGGTTAGCTTAGTTGCACTGAACTCAAGAGACAGCAATTGTCCAGAATACCAGCGTTGCATTGGGAGGTCTGTGATTGAACAGTGT